TTCATAACAAATTTAATTAGTAATAATATGTGCGGAACGCTAATGGAGTAAGGCCTTGGCCGATTTTTTAATCTATCTGTGTAGAAATATATAAAAAAGTGCTTTTAAGTCCTAGTCCTATTTCTCCAAGAGCCACTGGATTGCTGATGATAGAAGTTATTCATAAAAAATTTAATTAGTAATAATATGTGCGGAACGCTAATGGAGTAAGGCCTTGGCCGATTTTTTAATCTATCCGTGTAGAGCAGAAAGTGCAGTAGCAAAGATAAATGAGGATTTGCATCACATCCCATTATGGTATGGTATGTGGTAACGGTGGTAGAGCCTTGCAGCAGCTTTTGCTGTTGCACGTATGGGCCGGCTCGAGCCGGGTTAGTACCACGACCTCACAGAATACCGGCGTGAAGTGGAAGCTCTGCTTCCGCGTTTCGTCTGGTGAGTGCAGGTGACCGGAGGCCCAATTCCCCCCCCCCCCATCAACATGGTAGCGGAATTACGTCATAAACTACCCCAGGAGGGTACCAGTACCCCTGGAGAATCCCTCGCTGAGCATCCACGACCATGCTATTCCACTCCTGAGCGTGGGTGCTCAGGCTGCCCCGCGTATTCTGGGGGGGGCAAAATTCCGCTCAACACAAAAACTGCTCGGGGCAAACTGAGCAACAAGACCAAGGCGACCCCTGCCATGCTATCCGTGAACTTCTGCAACATCAGGGGACTTCACTCGAACCTAAACGCCGTCCACTACCATCTTGAGACGGCGAAGCCGGCCTTGCTCTTTCTGACCGAGACGCAGGTGTCCTCTCCGGCTGATACTTCGTATCTCTCCTACCCGGGGTACAAATTGGAGCACTCCTTTGTGCCTCGGGCTGGAGTTTGCGTGTATGTCAGAGAGGACATCTGTTCTCGACGCCTCGGCAGTCTTGAAGGTTCAGACCTGTCCATCCTTTGGCTACGCGTGGACAGCGACGACCATCCGCGCGTCTACGCGTGCCTCTATAGGTCCCATAGCGGTAATGCCGAAACAGACCGACTCATCGACCACGTCCAAATGGCTGCAGATTCCTTGCTACAACAGGTCCCATCCGCAGAGATCGTGATCCTTGGCGATTTTAACGCCCACCACGCCGAATGGCTCGGTTCACGTTTAACCGATCATGCGGGGAGATCTGTTTATGACTTTGCCTTGGCATATGGTCTGACACAACTGGTTACATCGCCTACGCGGATTCCAGATGTTGAGGATCATACACCTTCCCTGTGGGAACTTCTGCTGACCTCTCATCCGGACGGATATCAGGTTTCCGTCGATGCCCCTCTTGGCTCTTCGGACCATTGTCTGATCCGGAGTGTGGTGCCACTCACGCTCCCCTCGCGGTTGCGTTCTGCAGGTTGCCGCCGTGTTTGGCATTACAGGTCGGCGGATTGGGACGGAATGCGGTCTTTCTTTGCTTCCTACCCATGGGGGCGGGTTTGCTTCTCGCCGGATGATCCCAGCGCTGTTGCTGACTCTGTCACTGATGTGGTGCTACAGGGAATGGAACTATTTATTCCATCATCTGTGGTACCCATCGGAGGCAGATCTCAGCCTTGGTTTGGTCGCTCCTGTAAGACTGCATTACGCAGTAAGCAGGAGTGTTATCAAGCCTGGGCTGCGGCTTCGGTGACTCGGGATGTAAACACCAGCATACTCAAAAAGAAGTATAACTTCGCCTCCAGGTCCTTCAAAAGAGTTATTGCCAAGGCAAAGTCAGAGCACATAGGCAGAATTGGCGAGAAACTAGTTCGCCTTCCTTCGGGAACCCGTGCATTCTGGTCTCTCGCCAAGGCTGTCCAAGGGAATTTCTGTAAGCCATCACTACCATCTCTGCACAGGGAGGACGACTCACTGGCCCACGACGCAAAAGAGAAGGCCGACCTTTTAGGCTCCCTTTTTGCATCCAACTCGACTCTTGATGACGGGGGGAACACACCGCCGACCATCCCGCGGTGTGAGTGCTCCATGCCGGATGTGCGGTTCTAACAGCGCTCGGTTCGCAGAGCACTCCTCTCCCTTGACATCCACAAGTCGAGTGGGCCTGACGGAATCCCCCCAATTGTGCTGAGGACGTGTGCTCCGGAGTTGGCACCGGTTCTAACGCGTCTTTTCCGGTACTCCTACTCCCTAGGCGTAGTCCCGAAATCATGGAAGACAGCTTTTGTCCACCCGATCCCTAAAAAAGGCGACCGCTCAGACCCGTCCAACTACAGGCCTATCGCCATCACCCCCTTGTTCTCCAAAATAATGGAATCCATTATTAACTGCCAGCTTATCCGGTACCTTGAGGATCACCAGCTGATTAGTGACCGCCAATACGGTTTTCGTCGGGGTCGATCAGCTGGTGATCTTCTGGTCTACCTGACCCATAGATGGGCGGAGGCAGTAGAGTCCAAGGGGGAGGCGTTGGCCGTTAGTCTGGACATTGCGAAGGCCTTCGATCGGGTTTGGCACAAAGCGCTTCTTTCGAAGCTCCCTTTCTATGGGCTTCCCGAGAAATTATGCAATTGGATCACCAGCTTTCTTGCAGATCGGAGCATCAAGGTCGTTGTAGACGGTGCATGCTCCGACTACAAGCCTATTAACGCTGGTGTTCCACAAGGCTGCGTGCTATCACCAACGCTGTTTCTTCTGCATATCAATGATATGTTGCAAGCCGGTAGCATTCATTGCTATGCGGATGACAGCACTGGTGATGCTCTATACACCGGCCGTGCCAATATTTCTCGGGAAAACGTCACTGAGTACCGGAACAAACTTGTGTCTGAAGTCGAGTCTTTGCTGGACAAAGTCTCGGATTGGGGGCGACTAAATCTAGTCCAGTTTAATCCTCAGAAGACACAAGTTTGCGCGTTTACCGCTAAGAAGAACCCCTTTGTCGTATCTCCTCAGTTTCAAGGTACTCCCCTTGTTGCCTCAGCCAGTATCGGAATCCTCGGCGTCGACATATCGAGTAGCGTGCAGTTTCGTGGTCACTTGGAAGAGAAGGCCAAATTGGCCTCTAAAAAGCTTGGCGTGCTCAGTAGAGCGGGACAGTATTTCATGCCGGCTCAACGCCTGCAACTTTACAAGGCGCAGGTTCGGCCTCACATGGAATACTGTTCCCATCTCTGGGCTGGGGCTCCCCAGTGCCAGCTTCTTCCACTTGACCGCATCCAGCGCAGAGCGGCTCGAATTGTCGACGACCGAGTTCTTTCCGATCGGATCGACTCATTGGCACTGCGAAGAGATGTTGCATCTCTTAGCATTTTCTTTCGCATTTACCATGGGGAGTGCTCTGAGGAATTGTTCGGATTAATCCCAGCCGCCAAATTTCACGAGCGCACATCGCGGCAGAACTCCCGATACCATCCACACCATCTGGATGATTGGCGGTCCACCACTGTGCGATTTAGAAGATGTTTTCTTCCTCGCACAACTTCCTTGTGGAATAGTTTACCACCAACGATTTTTCCGGACCGATACGACTTAGGAACCTTCAAGAAAAGAGCCTACTCCTTTTTAAAAGGCCGGCAACGCATCTGCAATTCCCCTGGTGTTGCGGTTGTTCATGGGCGGCGGTAGTCACTTACCACCAGGTGAGCCGCATGCTCGTTTGCCCCCTCTCCTATATAAAAAAAATGGTCAGTAGCAAATACACTTGTGCTTAACAAATTCATGCTGTTAGGGTCAAAGGGGCAGGTCGACTCTATAATGAAAACGAAATTTGTTATAAGCATTCGTGGAGAACCGATGGAACGTGTAAGTGAGACTCGTAATCTAGGATTGTTGATGGACCAGGGTCTTCGCTTTGAGAATCATGTACTTGAAATAACACGCAACTGTTTTTATAGGGTCAAAGTACTGTACCAAGTGCGTGATTATCTCAGTGAGAGTGTTCGCGTGCGCCTATGTGAGTCACTCGTACTTTCACGGCTTGGGTACGCAGATACTGTGTATAGTCCAAGGTTATTTGCTAAAACAAATAGGTCAATACAAAGGGTCCAAAACGCAAGTGCAAGGTACATCTTTCATATACCTCGATATCATCATGTACACCCGTATCTTAATAAGTCGGATATATTAAGGATGTCATTGAGGCGAGATTTACATTTAGCTACGCTTCTTTTCGTATGCATAAAATCAGAAAGACCGGAATACCTCTTTCAAAAATTAAAATGGAGAAGAGCAGAAGATGGTCGAAGCACCAGAACGGTTAACCCGATACTGGCAACCTCATATCATCGAACAGCCGCATTTCGTGGCAGTTTTACATACATGGCCACTAAATATTGGAACAATTTACTACCACCTATACGGGAAACTAAATCTGTAAACGGTTTTAAAGCTAAATTAAAAATACACCTTTTAGCATCTCAAAAATCATTATTTCACGTGTGGTGGCAAGTTATTTCATAAATACGATTTAGCAAACATATTATAGGAATAGTTAATGAGTATATAATATATAATAAAATATAATATACATATGTTTTGTGTGTGAGTGTGTATAGGTACATTTACGTATGTGTATTTTTAAGTTATATTTAATATACACACATACACACAAACATATGTGTGTCTATATATTTGTGTGTGTATGTTTAATTTTAATATAATATACAATACATTTATATATATACTTGGAAATGTTTACTTTGAGAGAATGGTAGATTCATTATTTTTGTTTATGTTATTACCGATATCGTCGCGGGCACAATACGGAATCAATATTTATCAGGGCTCCGCTGAAAATCAGCGCTGCTGCAGTACCTGTGGTAGCATATGCTGAGACGGAATCCTTTTTGGCATCACATCACTCACTCTTGCTGAGATTTATTTTTATTTATGTTTTTCACCTACCTTGTATGTTTTTGTCTTATTATTTCTAAATATATATTTTGTGTGTGTATTGATGCTAATAAAACATATGTCTATGTCTATGTCTATATCTATGTCTAGAAATATATAAAAAAGTGCTTACTAGTCCCATTCCTCCAAGAGCCACCGCATTGCTGATGACAGATAGTGTAGAGAACATCACCATGGTCATGGAAATGAGATTGTCTTCCCGTTCTCTCTCTCTATGCCTGGGCAGATTCCAGGCGCCCGCTACTATATACGCGAGGCAGGACATCTGGAAAATATTCTCAGATTAGTAAGTAATAAAGAATAGCTGCAGCTATATTAATAGTATAGTTGTAGCACGAATGGGGAAGGAACACGCTCGCACAGAATTCCAGCGTAAAAAACAGCTTAATGCTGCTGTGTTTCGTATGGTGAATGTAGAGAACCGGAGACCCTTTTTACTGGAAAAGATGCATTCTATCTTATTACTTACGGCTGACAACGCATCTGCATTTTAATTCTCAAACGAAAATAGATGTAGATTTCTATGGGCCACAGCAACCACTTACCATCAGGTGGACTGTGTGCTCGTTTGTCACCCTTATTCTATAAAAAAAAATTAAGAAGGAATTGTTATTCTAGAAAAATGTTACTCTATTTAGATTATCTGAATTATTAGAACCAAACGGTTTGCTTCGTCTTTTGTAATGCGTACAGCAAAGGAGTGGAATAATTTGCCGGTGTCTATCTTTCCGTCCGAATACAATCTGGGCGTCTTCAAGGCAAGAGTGAATAGGCTTTTGTTACGATGCGATTTACCATCTAAGGCTACATCCCCACTTACCACCAGGTGGGATTGTGGTCAAGCACTGGCTTATAATCAGTAAAAAAAAATGTAAACCTTATTAATTTCTCATTAATACCCTATTTTGCTACTGTACTATTAAATTTTACGTTATTTAACTTTTTGCAACATTATGGCTGATTTACACAGGGACAGTAACTGGTTCCAAATTCGAGACAAGTCAGCGCTGACCCGCCACTGGCACAATGTAAATTGATTTAGAGTCGGTACAGCACTATCGCGCCAGTGCTGACTTCAATATTTCTGCTTGAATATATTGAAGTCAGTCCACTCTCCCGCCAGCTGCGCCAGCGGTATTAACTTTGTCTAAGGGACCAAGTCAGTGCTTGGACTCTAGTATATATACTTGCACAGTCGCTGGCGTAGTATTGTAGGGTGACATCGCGTCGTATCATAAAATTATAAAATATATAGTTTAGTAAATGAACGCATTTTTTATATTACTGAAAGCATGCATGATATTAATTATTTAATTTTTATTAATTATATAATTTATATTCATCAAAATACATTGCATAGTCATGGAAACGTAAACAAGCGTTTACGTTTTCATGACTACGTAATGTAATTCCTTGGGATTTTACCTCTCCGAGCCTAATCCCATGAATGCCTCAAGCAGCAGTTCTTTGGGATTTTATCCCCCCGAGCGAACTTCGGTTAATCCTAGACATGGAGACCCTAAGCAAATAACCATTACATCCGCTAGTAACAGAACCTTGAATAATGATGAAGTAGGGCGTGAAAGCAACAATGAAACTAACATAGTTTACCATGCTTTTGAAAATTCATAGAACTATTTTTGATTTTATCTGACTGTAAATTTTTTGATTATGCCTAATAAATAACGAACTTACCTTAATTTGTATTTTCAATGCTGTGGATGTTGCCTAGCATACATTTGATATTAAATGAGAAATAGATGGTTTCGATATACGATAAAAGTGACAAAAATTACATTCCTGAAGCCAAAAATGTCAGTGTTATTTTGACTGGCAAAGCATATCTCATGAATGTATCTTGACGTCGAAGAGAGCTTGTTATCAATGGAAGCAATTCCTCAAAACTCTTCGGCGTTATTCTCAAAGCCATTTTGAATTCCGCAGGACCTTTAAATCTCAATTGATTTAACAACAAAGCAGAAGCTTCGGTTTCTTTTCTGTCGTGTATCCATTTTCTTATCCAAAGACGTTTCTTTTTACATTTCTCTTCTAACATTTCCGTCAACTCTTTCAACAGCGGATGGGAAACATTTTCTCAACAAATATTAATCGTTGTAAAGTCTGCCTTTTCCATGATTTCATTTTTGCCTACTGACTTCAATAACGTGCGTACACGCTAAAGAAGTTACCACGACTACTGACTGCGTGTAAACAGTGCGAGTCAGTCCTCGGCGCCAGCACTGGCGCTTGTTACTGGCCCCGTGTAAATCAGCCTTTAGGCTTATAACTGGATGAGCACATTGCATGTTTCTCACAATTCTTGTATCTTGTTTTTAATTTTTGTGTATCGTCTGTCGGTGACCCTTATAAATAAATAAATAAAAAAACATTCTACATCTAGCTTTTTTTTTAATAACTAAAGTGTTACATACACCGTGTAGTCGCGGTGTAAAACATCTACTACCCCATATGACGTCGTATAGTTGTTGAATACTTTTTAATTCGAGGAGAAAAATAAAACTTCTTGATGCAGATATTATCGCCGTGTACTTTCAATTGACAAAAAAAAATTGGCGGTGGTTACAGCTTAAAAACAACAAAGAAAAAAGAAATAAGTAAAACGTATGTAACGCAACTTCGTGCGTAACAAAAACCACAGGCGTTTTCGTAGACAGTTGTCATGAGAGGCGACAGAAGGAAACATACCAGGAAATGGACAGCAGTGTCTTCCTAATTACAATTTAAAAAACTACCGTTGGCAATCCGACTGCTGAGCGTGGCGTGGCCAAGCTTGGGCAAATATCACCTTATGAACCAATCTATGGGGAACCTGTGCTCAGCAGTGGACGTAAAAGTTAAGGAAAAAATATAATAGGTAAGGGTGTGGGCACTGTTTGGTTTGTTCAACGTACATCTTATTTTGTAAATAAACTTAAAAAAAAATTCTAATATCGAATTTAATTTCGTTCAATATGAACTCATTACCGTTACTAGACCCTTATCGTCACGTTTGTGTTTTCAGGAGCAACTCCATAGAAATATCCAGAAAAATCTTATGGCTTCCGCTATAAGTATATATTATCTGGTATATACCAGACGTATAATAATAATGTCATCCAGGCTGAATTTTGGTCAAGGGTCATGGCGAGCCGGTCTCAACGGAGACTAGCCATCTGCACAGACAAGATTATAGTGTACAAGTGTGCACACACAGGGGCACTCTCTGTTCCCTCACTCTCACAGTCCGATGGTACGGCAATCCGACACAAACTTAGAGAGATCTGGAGCTATACTAAAGGCTTTAAGTGTTATTTTTTTAATAAAAGTGAATAGATAAGCGAATTTACAGTCCACATGACAGTAAGTAGCTAGTAGTGCTACAGTGGCTGTGTGTAATCCATGGATATCTGCAACCAACTTAAAACAAAGGAATGTAGCTTACATTCTTTTGTTTAAAAGCAACCAAAAAAGCAAACCGCAAACACTTTTATCACAGATTAACTAATAATTACTACGTGACCTTTATGAAAATCCCTCCAACGTGCCGATTACGATAGTGTGAAGATTTTTTTACGATTAACCGTCAAAATGTTTTTTGTCCTTCATATTGCTGAGTACCGCTCTTAAGTTGAAATTAATGACAAAGTGGAGGTTAATATGTGCTTTCATTTATACATTTATTTGGAATTTAGTCGAAGTGAATGTTGCACGCCACCATTAATGACTGGTATATGGCGACAACAGTTACCACTAGCGCCTTCTGGTATCGAGTAGCAGAACTAGGAGAGTCAAGATCTTTCTAGAAATTTCCATGGTAGCACTTTCTAGAACTATTGACACCTGATGATTTACGCGAACACTGCACATTTAAATAAAACTAATTTTACGGATTTTATCGCGTATATTAACTTATTTTATATTTCCGACGTTTCAGGCACTTTTCAGCACCCATGGTCACGAGGGGGACTAAGGTGTATGACGTCCCACTGTCATAGTTAACCACGGATACCTTCAGATTAAAAATTATTAATTTTTGTTCCGATCTACGCAGAATGAACTTACAGTATCATGAAGTCTTGCAGTTGTATGCTTGGGTTGGGATTTAATTTTATTAATTATGGGATCCCAAGCAGATAGTAGCACCCAGCCATCTTCTCTATTGAAATTAGGATGTTTTTTAATTTCAATAGCCTCTCGAATCATCCTGAGGAGGAATCGGTGTTCTTTAGCGAGGATTTGTGGTCTATCAAATCTAATGTAGTGACGGGGGCGATCCTGTACGTGTTCACAGACTGCAGAGTTCCCGGAACGTCGATTCTTCACATCAGCTATGTGTTCTTTAACGCGGGTTTTTATGGATCTTTTAGTTTGTCCTATATAAGAGAGACCACATTCACAATCAAGCTTGTACACTCCTGCATCTTGCAGAGGAATATTACACTTGACTGATGGTAAAAACTGCCTAATCTTCTTCGGCGGCTTGAAGTATGTTTTAATGGAAGCACGCTTCAAGATGTAGCCAATCTTGTCAGTGACACCTCTGACATATGGCAGTACAGCAGGCACTCGCTCGACTGTGGCCGGCTTCACTCGTTCACTGTGACGCAAGCAATACAACTGCGAACTAAAGTGATAAGTAGTACAATTGTGTTTTTTTTATTAGTGTCGTTCTGAGTTGTAATTAGTGTTCTGTAATTAAAGTGTCAATTTTGTTAATTCACTCGGCAGTTTTTAATTGTCTCGAACCCCAAGCTCGTAACATTATTATATGATACGAAGTTTAAGAATTAATTTTATATTATATTTGTCCGTATTCTGCTTTCAATAGAACATTGTAACTGGTTTCATGCCATATCATGGATCAGTCGCTTGATACAATTAATTTTTTTTTTTTGGAATTATCAATCATTTTCAGATTACAGTAAAGTTATATAATGAAATATTAAAACGGCAGACTTGTTAAAATACTTTGAAAATTTACCCGATTTTCATACCTATCACATCTGAGTGACCCCGAATCTACCGCGGCCGGCCTTAGCCCCCATGTCTTGTTTAGTGGGTATAACAGACTCACTGGACAAAACTTAAGGTTTGTTAAAATATGTGCTGTCTGCTTTAAGCTGGTTCTTTAACACTTATTTAATTGACTTCGACTACATTAATGATGTTCTCATTTTAAATGTTCAATGTTCTCATTAAAATCGGTTGTACAAACAACATTTTTAATTTTACCACTTGTTTACGAGAAGGTTAACAAATAAAATTCATTTATAATCATTAACCTAAATGTTGAAAGACCCTGCGATTACATCATGAGAACGTAAACAAAAACACACGGACTGCTATTAATACTCACAGTTGATATAATACACAGAACGAGACATCCGGTCTCTAAGGAAAGGCAGCCGCAACATCGCCTCACCATAGGCAGGGCCATCTTGTATCTGCAAACATATTGTAATATTATTTTATAGAATAAGATAGACAAGCGACCACATAGCCCACCTGATGGTAAGTGAATGCTGTGGTCCGTAAACATCTATATTTATCCTTGATCAAATCAAAATAGAGATACGTTGTCACCGCTGCAGATTAAGATGTAGGTACATCTGTGCCTACATCTTAATCTGCAATTTTATAATGCCTCGTATCCAGTAAAAAGGGTCTCCGGTTCTCTACACTCACCATACAAAACATAGCAGCATTATAGCTTTATTGTGTATGGTGTATGTATACGAAATAATAGTCGGGGAAAAAGTTTCTTCGTATTTTCTACTGACTTAAAAAAGGAGACGGTACTCAATTCGACTGTGTGTTTTTTTATGTGTGTTACCTCATAACTTTTTACTGGGTGAACAGATTTGGATGATTCTTTTTTTATTTGAAAGCTGGTGCTTTACATGTGGTGCCATATAAATTTGATCCAGGCCTGACCAATAGTTTTTAAGTTATTCTTAATAATTTATATTGAAGTCGATTGTACAAAATTTTTAATTTTAAATTATGTCTGTATAAAATAGAAGAAAAATCTCTTTGGTTGTACTGTTGGTATCTGGCTGGTTTTAATATCAATGCATATAGGACATTAAGAAAAAGAAAAATATAAAGTAAAAAACACTTCCCCAAAAAACAAAATCAGTACATAAATCTAACGAAAAATTCGATACATTCTGGAGTTTTATTACAAAAAAGAAAAATAAGGTACTCAAGCCGCCAAAAAAATATTTGTGATGCTTATGGACCTAATGCAGTGTCAGTAAGAGTAGCACAAAGTTGGTTTAAGCGTTTTCAGTCTGGGAAGTTTGATGCCAAATATGCAGCTCGTTCTGGTCGCCTTCATACGGATAAAGTCGATCCCATATTTGAAAAAGTGGAGCAAGATTGGCATATTAGTATACGACATAGCCTATGCATCACAAAACAGTTTTGACCCATTTGAAAAAGTCTAGCTATACAAAAGAGCTCGATATTTGGGTACCACACGAGCTCACTGAAAGAAACCTAATGAATCGTGTACTCATTTGCGATTCTCTATTGAAACGTAATATAATCGAACCATTTTTTGAAAAGATTGATCATTGGTAATGAAAAGTGGACCACCTACGACAAGAATGTGCGGAAAAGATCATGATCAAAGGGTAGTCAAGCTCCACAGACAGAGACTTAGACTGTAGAAGAACCCGGATTAATACGCTATAAGGTGATGCTGTGTGTATAGTCGGAGTCGGATTGGAAAGGCATCGTTTATTATGAGCTTTTACCGCCGGGCAAAACCATCAATCCGGATATCTACAGCCAACAACTAATGAGATTCAAGCAAGAAGTTGAGGAAAAACGGCCGGAATTGACCAACAGAAAGGGAGTGGTCTTTCATCATTATAACGCCAGACCACACACATCTTTGGCCACTTAGCAAAAATTGAGAGAGCTTTGTTGGGAAGTGTTAATGCATGCCCGCTCCGCACCATATAGCCCTGACGTTGCACCCTCAGATTTTCACCTATTTCGGTCCCTTCGGAATTCTTTGGGTAGTGTTAGGTAAACATGAAGGTATTTTATTAGGTAAATGTCAAAACTACATGTGGCATTTTTTAGATCAAAAATTACAGCAACGGGATTATGTCACTACTTACAAGATGACAACAAGTTATTGAACTAAATGGCACATATAATTTTATGTAATTATATTTTGAAAGAAAAATGTCTTGAATTTGTATATAAAAGACGAAGAAACTGTCCCCGATCTTATATATAGCTATTTTACGCTGGTAAGTAGTCCTTCCCGGTCGAGCCGATCCATTGCGCGGTTTTCCGTTTACCGGCATGGCGACGGCACAACAACGGCAACGGCGACGGAAACGACACGGCTGGCGGGGAAGCAAAAATATATAAAATGTATGAATTAGATAGAATGTTCCACTTACTGGCGCCGGCGACGGCACGGCTATAACACTCACCGGTGCCGTAGCCGGTGCCGTGACAGTAAGTTTCCCACACGTTGCCGGCCGGCAAAACTGCATTTGTGTATTGCAGCCGTGTGCGTGTGTGCGTATGCGCGGGCTGAAGTAGACGCGTTGAGACTGAGACTCGAATTTGACTTGTGAAATGATGAAATGTCTCTCGTTCATGCGAAAGTAGTTGAAATATTTTTTAGAGTCCATTTCCAACTTTTAAAATAGGGTATAATATGTTCCTTCTAAGTATTTTATTTTTAATTTGACTTTTTTGCGTTGATTATATTTTCGTCTTAAATATAATAGATGTAACAAACAAATACTACGACTTGAAGAACTTGTAGACCTGAAGTCTGTGTTAGTACTGCCCAAAAACCGAGTGTAGACCGGTAACGGCACCGGCACAGTGGAAAAACGAAGCCACTGCGCCGTCGCCGTGCCGTCGCCGTACCGTGCAGGTAAATGGAGAACCGCCCATTAGCCTTCAATAGGGCTGCCAACCGTTCTATTTTCCGATTACATGTCTTAGTTTTTGTAGTATCCTGGGATGTCCTGGATAGTTTTTAAGCATCGTCCTAGGTTTTTAAAGCGCCCTGATAAGGTCATGTATTTTTAAGATCACGGCATTGAAATTCATCATCATCATCATCATTACAGCCTTTCATAAGTCCACTGCTGAACATAGGCCTCCCCCAAGGAATGCCACAAAGCACGGTCCTGAGCCACCTGCATCCATCGACTTCCTGCATGTCTTACCAGGTCGTCACTTCATCTCGTGGGGGTCGCCCTACACTTCGCCTACCGGTACGACGCTGCCACTCGACAATCTTTTTACCCTATCGCTTTTCGGTTCTTCGAGCTATATGGCCGGCCCATTGCCACTTCAGCTCACTAATCCGTTGGGCTATGTCAGTTACTCTGGTTCTACTGAGCATATCCTCATTTCTAAGTTTATCACGCAGAGAAACTCCGAGCATAGCCCTCTCCATAGCTCGCTGAGCGACCTTGAGCGTCCTCATTCGGCCAGCAGTGAAGGACCACGTCTCAGTTCCAAATCTCATTACTGGCAACACGCACTGGTTGTACAATTGCATAGTTGCCACGCTTGGCGAGCGGGTTGGCAACCGCAGTTTTTTTATTGTAATTTTGGCTATTATCAGGAAGATGCTTCTGCCCATCTCCTGATTTGTTTCCCTCTGTCGCCTCTTTACGACACCCAGGAGATGATATGGGGATGGGGTAGTGGATATTCTTACACCGCCACACTTCACTTTTTTTCTCATTAGTATATAAATAAATTACGACGAAATATATCCAGAATCTACGCTCACAAATGCTGTAAAAATAAAGCATTAGCTGACTTAGTGTATGAGTTTGTAACTGAACAAAATTTATATTAGTTAATTTAGCGAAGTTTTTGGGAGATTTTGACGGCAACTTGAGCCAGCCTCAGATGTAGTAATAAAAAGGTAATAGTTAAATGAGTGCTTACGTACTCGTATGAAACGATATTCCTTCAGTTTTTTTGTTCACTTTAGTATTGTTTTTGCACCATTTAATTACAAAGGACTGCATTTTGTAGGTAAATTTACTGCACGACGCCCCGTCAGGTACTGACGATAATGAACGTAGTTTGTTACATGTGTGTGCGTGAACGCGTGTGTTTACTTAAAAAGGAGTGGAGTTTTTTTGACTTCACCAATAACAAAGGCCGCACAGTAACTACCTTTTTTTACTTCATCTGAGGAGCCTGCAGACAGTTGCCGATAGTATCTCAAGGCGCCTAAGCTGACAGACACCTTATCTTGAGATTCACATCATCATCTGAGCACTTGTTCCACCGTTCCACTAATAGTGAACTATTGCGTAGACATTTAATACACAAAATTTTACGTATCAAAATCCAATCCAAACCATTATTTAAAGAATAATACAAAAGCAGCAACGCTACAGGGCTAGCATGGGCAGGAGACAATTTTATCCCCGGGGAATAGAGAGCTTAGTTTTATCCACCTTTCGAGCATGGGCACACCGGTGGATATAATATCCACAGTAGATGAAATGAGAGATAGACTTAAATTTAGATTTATTTTTATTTAGTATTTTTGTAGGAATATAAACTTAAACCCACGTCCATTGAACTAGTATAAAATTGTCCCTTTCAAATGTCAAAAAAGCATAATTTTTTTATCTTTTATTTGGCTCCATGCTACGGACGGATATGTCTACTCGTTATGTCAAACGGAGATATACTTCTCCCCGTTGCCGTGCTTTGGCATAAGGACAAGATAATTTTATCTCTTGTCAGTGGATGTAATCGGGGGAATTTTTTTTTGTCTCCAGTCCATGCTAGCCGTGCTGGTCAAGTTCCCGCCAAAACTCCTTTTACAACACCTAAATGAATGTGTAGTATGTGTGTAGAATGTGTAAAAATGTGTAGTATTCGCATTATTATAATAAATTATTAAGAAAATATGGAACACATTGTTTACTTTACGAAGTTTAACAATAATGTGGTATTCAAGTTTTTATTGTTGTCATTATTTTAAATTGAACTAAAATAGCGGAGCAGTTCGCAAAAATATGTCGTCACACACCTCGTCATAGGTTAATGCACACCTCGAAACGAAAATAATTATAACTTTTAACATAAAGTAAAAATCGATTTCAGTTTGCTAAAAGAAAGAAGTTATTTATTTGCTACCCTTACGGGTGAATTTTTTCACCAAATTTATATGGGACCACCCCGGAACCTATAAATTTAATAAAAAAAAGAATCATCTAAATTGGTTCGATATCTGCGAAGATATCGCGTCACATACATACATGGACGTCCATGCATATATAGGTACCAACAAAACATATTCGAATTGAGAACCTCCTCCTTTTTGAAGTCGGTTATTAAAAAAGTCTAATAACTCAAAACCATACGATTAATGTGATAAAAAAGGAGGACGAATGAATTATGGACATTTTAATGAAC